GAAAACCTGGTATTACCGGCGGATAAAATCCGCCGATAAGATGTGAAATCCGACGGAAATATGGGTTTCCGACGCACGTTCCGGCGGAATTTCATGCGCCGGTTTGGCTTGCGTAGGTAAATATCTTCCGATGTTTATAATGCGCCGGAAAAGTTTCCGGCGCAAAAAATGTTGTGGAGCCGGCGATTTTCAATCGGTAAATTCCGGCGATAACTGCGCTAGCAATTTGTGTTGTATGAGTCTGCCGGTAATTGCCGGCGGATAAAGTGCCGTTGGACGCCGTAAATAACCTACGGGTTGTTTACGGCACAAACTATGCGTCGGAAATAGCTGGCGGACACGAAACCGGAACACGCACCGGTAATTTAAATACACGGGCGCCATATCCGCCGGTAATTACGCCGGTGATTTTCCGCCGTAACGTGCGACGGAACAAGTGGAATGTTGGTTTATACCGACGCCCATGCCGGCGCAACGAACGCCGGAAATATTCCGTCGTAATATGCGCCGGAAAATGCGTCGTAACGTTTCCGTCGCACCAAAGCGCCGTTACATGCGCCGTTCTTTACCGACGAATCATTTCCGCCGGAACGTTCGACGGTAATCGCGTGTTTTCTCGTAGTGAGTATTGTACCTGTAATTGTTGATAATCTTATGGAAGAAAAATGTCGCTTCTTAAATTACAAAGTTCGAATGCACATCATAAATGGATTGATAAAGGAAAGAGAATGACAGATAAATAGAAAAAATTCTCATCTAGAACAAAACCACCACAGTTGGATGTGATGATTTGGACGCATTTGGGGTGGAAGATTTAATGAAGTAGGATTTAAGGATTCAACATTGCTTTTATATTCACTCAAACATTGCTTTATTATTATTATTATTTATTTAAACTAATGTGAGCTATTGAATTGAGAACCATTATTTATTTTATCTCTGTATCATGAATATGTGTTCTCTATATCTTCAAATGATTTATAATATACAAGCATTTTTATATTTCACAATTTTCTCAAGTGTAATATATTAATGTATTTTGCTTGTTTTACTTCAACTTATATTATTTGTATTGCATCTAATTTAAATAATATTAATTTTCTTATCTTCATTTTATTTCTAGAGCTTCACGTATTGGAGAAATATAATAGAAGATTTCATCCAAAAAATTGAATTTAATCTTGTGTGTAATGACTACAAAAGAAGAGATCAGTTACTCAAATAATGAAATTTTTTAGTTTTAAATTATTCAATTTAACAATTATGCATGTTTTATGTTTTATATATGATTATGTTTAATTTTTTGTCACATATTTGCACATGACTATAGGATTATTATATAAACGATTTAAATAAAATTAATATTTATTACATCATCCAATTCAACTTCAATCCAACCATCAAACCGATAACATTTCCTTCTTGTTCGTTGTCTAATATAATGTTCACAATGATGAAAAATTTTAATAAACTTGCAAAAACAACAAGTCTTTATCTCACTTCATGTGGTATGTTACGTTTTTCTCCATTATATCATATTAAGAGTCAAATTCTCATTTAATTCTAATAAAAATTGTCATTCTTAATATTTTTTAACCAAGTCTTTTTAGGTCTGCATTGCTGTTTATTAACATAGGTCGGATCTAATACATCTACTCATTTAACAAGGTCATCAAAGAGGCTGATATTTTATATGAATAAATCATCTAAGGCAGCTTTCCATAATCTTATTTGTTGTTAGGCTACTCTAACCTTTCCACTCATTTCACATTATATCTCTAAGTGTAAAGCTACTCATTCACTTGAGCATCCTCATCTTTACAATACTTTATTTAATTTATTTTTGCTCTTTAAGAACCAACATTTTGTGCAATAAAGCATTGCAGATCGCATCAACTTCTTATTAAAATTTTCCTTAAGTTTGAGTGGTATTTTTCTATCACACAATAGGCCTGATGCCTTCCTCCACTTCCATCATCCAACTTGAATTCTACTAGTAATATCCCCATCTATTTGACCATCGATTTGAGCAATAGAACTGCGATATCTAAAACATGCACTCTTTTTAATGGCTTAATCACCCAACCTCATAATCCCAACACTATATCTATTATTTTTAAAAATTGCATACCATAGATTCGATTCAGATCTACTCAAATTAAACCTTTAAACTTTAAGGTTCACCTCCATAATTCTTGTTTTTCTTCATCTCCCTCTCCACTCTTATCAACAAGAAAAATATATGCACCATTTTCTTCCAAATACAAGTTGAATGTCAAATGAACATATCTAGATTTTTGTAGTTAGAAGCATATTTGAATGTCATTTTGAACACCCCCCCCCCTCTCGATCATATGTAGTTCAATATGATGATCCGACTATAATAATTGATGATAGAGCATTCTAACTATCATAGCTAATCATAGGATTGAATATCATATTGGCTCTTTGGAATCATATATAATTATCTCCTAAATTTGATTATGGTAGACAATAAGAGATTTAAAGTTTTGTAATTTAAACATATTAGAGAATGATATCTTCACCATTTAAGGTGACATATTATTCATGATGGTGAGTTCAGTTATAAAACCAAAAAAATATTTAAAAGTCAATACTCAAACTTTTCCAAATAAAATATAATCATAAATTGCTTTGCAATTTTAAAAAAAGCTTACAAACAGCTCACATTTCAATATTTCATCGACCACAATGAATGCACTCACAAAATACATCGATTTTCATTCTAAAAATTCATATACACTACTTATGATCTATATAATCATATCATATATACTCCATTATAAGTATTAAAAATAACTAAAATAATAAAAAAAGGAATATGAATATGAAAGATCAATAAGCACATATGTATTCATTTTCAATGTATTGCAAAAAATAAAATATAATTGTGCTAGATTCAGAAAATACCAAAATGTTCTAACGGTAAGCAACAAAAAATCCTACTGAGCAAAATTTTACTTTTTTTAAAATTAACTAAATCACCAGATATTATATATCAACATTCTTAAGCTTTAATTGAGCTAAAGCACTATTTTTAGTGCTTTAAAATAAATTTTTGAATAAGAAAAAATTCCTATATTTTTAAAATCATCTAACTGAAAATCTCAAATACATACTCTATTATGCCATTTAAAAATAAGGAAATTAATTAAGCACTTACAGTTATTCCATAAGCTGAAGCCTCAAACGTTTCAATAGAGTTGTAGGACCCATGCTACGGAAGACTAGTTACTAAGGATAGAAAAGATCTTCAACAATATGTTATGTCTAGAGAATAAAAAGTACTATTGACATTATCTTTGTTTGAATAAGAGGCTGAGAAATGATGGATTGTATATCAGAGAGCAAAAGGTCATAAAGTTGTATGACTACAATCCACTCTCGTACATCAATGCAAACCTTGTAGGTAATGATGAACTTTTATTTGTTTTCCTAGGTTTCTTAAGTAGTCAAGGTTGCTTGACAACATATAAAAACTTTTCTCATTAGATTTTTTTAGAAGCGGACAAGGCCCACCACAAATAGGGGTGTCAAAATTGGAATTTGGGTCAGATTTGGTTGGAACTTAGAATTGACTTGGGTTCAAATGAGTTGACACTAACCCGACCTTGTTATGTAAACGGGTCGAAAGTTCAGACCCGGACCCGACCCGTTGGGTTATCAAGTGACCCGACCCGGCACGACTGGACGACAATGGTGGGACGGCGAACAATGGGGCTCATGTTGACTGTGGGAAGGTGGGGCAATCGATGCAACACGTAGGCGGGCGTGGGCAGCTCGGACGACGGGCAGCCTTGTATGCGATGCGCTAGCGGGCGCCCGTAGCTCGGACACAACGCGCGGGCTGGCACGGGCAGCTTAATTGGATGTGACGCGCGGGCTGCCTTGACGCGGGCAGCTGTGTTGTTTCCTTAGTAGTAACATTTTAGCGCACCACATTTATTTAATAATAGTTTTGATTATTTATTGATCATGTCAAATTATATAAGAAGACGTGTCAAAATGGAATCGATTAAGTGCTCCAATAAACTTCAACTTTTTATAAATTGGTTTAAAAATGCCTTTTAAGTATATAATTCAAATTCATTCGATCTAATGATCGAACCTATGTTAGACCTTTTATTGCTCATGCCATTTAAACAAGTCATTAAAGGCTTAAATGCTAGATTACATGTTTCAATAAGTTTCAAGAAGTTATTTTTAGAAAATGTTTAGTAAGAATCTTGTTTGGATCTATTTATACTAATAATCAAACAAGTCATCCAACTTTCATAAATCATATCAAACAATCTGACGTGACAAAGAAGGATAGACTAAGGGCATCTCCGACCGAAAAATCCATTTTCTACTCCAAAATATTGTAAAACTCCAAATTGCAGTAATTCATTTCCAATCGAACTCCATTTCTTTTCTCTTCTTTCGTGCGCTTCTTCATCTTGTTACGAAGATAACCATCTTTCTCCTCAATCTTTCACGCGCTTCTTCAGCAAATCCTGTAGCATAACAAATTAGCGTAGTTGAACAGTGCTCACCTACCGAATTTTGACATACGATTAACATTCAAATGGAGCAAATGATGAATGACATATCATCGTATGCAGTTCGGTTGGAGATGATCCAAATATTCTAATAAAATTCAACTATTTTACCATTTTAAGAATAACATGTCAAAATTACTATAAATTTCATTAATATTTATTTGAATCAATTGTGATACTCTATGATTAAAAGTGAGTGTATTTGGATTAAAAAAGAATTTTAAACACATTTAAAAAACATTAGAAGTATATATATTTTTAATTTTAGAAATATTTAAATAAAAAAGTTTAAAATAAATATCAGTTATACATTTTTAAAATTTTAGTCATCATGAGGCATGAAATTATTATTTATAATTAATTTAAAAATATAATTGATCAGACATTATAATTATAAAATGCAAATTTGGGAGCAAATTTACAACCGTGTCTGCCAGGCCGACGACTCATTCCGGTTTACACAGGGCTCGCTCCTCTTCTACATTCGGCACCTATCGGAGTTGACGAAATAAACCCTTGGCTTTTCTTGTCTCTCTACCAAACTGCAGCCACGCCGCCGCCGCCGCCTCCCCCGCTGAAGCTTTTATGCTCCATAGCTATCTCCAGGGGTTGTCGTTCGGTTCTTCGCATCAGTACTGCATCACCGTTTTCTCTCTTCCACACCGTATCATCGCCATTGCCGGCCGCCAGCGCCATGACGGAGAAGGGAACAAATAATTTTTGTAAGGATGAGGCGTACCTCCACTCCGTCATCCAGAAGCGAATCAGCCAATTTGAGTCCATTCAAAAGCAACAAATTGCCTACCGCCAGAGTATTGGGGGAGAGCCCATTAAGTGAGTTTGAGTCGCCTTTCCTCCTGAATATTAACTTTTGATACTTCAAAGTGATGTCTATGGATTTAATTGGGCAATTCATTCGAGTTTATTTTATGCTTTTCGGAATTGCTTGCGGATTTTGGATGAAATATGCAATTTCTGTGCTGAGATAAGTGGAGATTTGCTATCGGAGGAACCTCGTTGCATTTTTAATATATCCAGTGAAATTCACAACAGCAAATGTGTTGGCCATTGTGCCTACAATGCCAAAGTTCCCGGCTGAGCTATCTAATGAAAGGCACGGTCTTCTTTCTGTATATGTTAGCTTCAAACGCTGGAGGCTGGGGCTGGTGGAAATCCTCAGTGAATTAAGAAAATTTAATTTTGTAGAAGACAGATGAGAAAGACTTCTTAGTCAGCACTCGTTAATAGAATGTGTGTTTAAATTATATATTTTTGCCGCTTGATTGTGACATTATGAACAAATTTTCTTTAGTTCACTTAAGGCCAGTTTATTTATATGCAAGTATTCGAAAATTATTGGGACTAGGTTCCATTAAGTTACTTTAATTGAAGTGATTTTATATATATTTTTTTGTTTTGAAGGAACATTTCTTCTTGCTAAACTTATAGTTATTTGAACTATACTAAGTTTCTATATTATTTTATTGCAATCATGATATAAGTAATATCCTAGTTCGACCTCATTTTAATTTTATGTTATTTTATTGCTGCTTCATGCAAAAATTAAAATGAAGGTGTTTACAAGTCTAATAAGTGGAACTCTCTTCTTACATTTATGATGGTGAGTTTCAAAATTCTGAACTCACTTTCATCTACCTTCTACTAAATAAATATTGAACTCAATTCCAATTACTTTCAAAGACTTTGTATCAAAACAAACTAGTTCTTAGTGCTTGATGTTCATTGTGCCTAAGATGGGGTGTTTCTCTTAGTATTGATGTTGATCTGTGTTTGTTATTTAAATACAAATTATTTTACCATGGATCTTTTTCATCATTAGCCTAATCCTAGCTATTTGGGGATGTGCTTATGAATTCTCATTCTCAAGTCTTCCCTGTCGAGTGCTTAAGGAGTTGTAAAATTTGTTCTATGCAAATCTTCTTCAATCTATGTTATCTTTTGTCCCCCTTCTTTCTCCCTTCCTAATAATTCAAAACTAATTTTGTATTTGAATATGTCTAAACCACTTTAGTTTATTCTTCATTACCTTATCTTTAGTAATGCTACTCTTTTATCTCTCTAATATATTCAATCCCGTAATATATCCATCTTAGTTTATTTATACATTTATCTAATGTTATCATTTTTATCATACTTAATTTGTTTATCAATGACTTTTTTTACTTCTAAAGTTTCAATACTCATATTCATGCAACATAGCAATCATAATTGCTGCTTTTTTGACATTTAGGGGCTGTTTGGAAACAAGATTTAACTGGATTAATGCAGGATTTGAGTAATATTTAGCATGAATCTCGCCTAACGAGATTTGAGCAGTATTTAGCATAAATTTGGCAACAAGATTTAATGGCAACGATAGTGTTATTTGCTTTAATCTATCGATGATAAGTTTTCTCTAAAATTAAAATTAAAAATTTTGCGGCTACTATAAGTTAAGTATTTAGTGCATATCAACTAGTTTTAATTGCAAATTCTCTATCATTATTAGAAAGTATAATTAACCATAGGAGCTCATGCTTATGAGAAGCTAGAAGACATATCATAAAATCCTCTCAAAAAAGGTAAAAATCTTTGGATAGTGTTTTATCTACAATTTAATTTGCTTTTTTAAAAATTTGACTTGGACACAAAACTCTCTCAGAAGATCCAAGCGTGAATTTTTAGAGGCCATAAGAAGTTTATAAATAAAGATTTGGGACGCATAATTCGTAATTTTATGTTTGGATAATTTTTTTATAGTATCAACTTTTGAGTGCAATTTAGATTTGTGGCTCTATTAAATATCAATATATTATTTTGGATATGAAAATTGTATAATCCAAATACTCAGAATGGGCTATAAACAAGATGGAACGACCAATAACTATAAAAGTCTACCAAAGAAGAAGGAATACATATATGCCACAACTCCCAATTGACAATATTATTTTGGCAACATAAATGGTAATAAAGCACTAGTATAATATTTTCTTTTATTTGTTTTGGCCACATGGGAAAATTTTTTCAGCACTCTCTATCTCTTTTTCTTCTCTCAACCTTGAGGATAAGGTTATTTTCAAAGGAGATGGGAGTGTTAAATATCAGCATATTATTTTGGATCTCAAATTTGTATAATCCAAATATGCAGAGTGGGCTACAAGCAAGATAGAACAACCAACAACGATGAAAGTTTGTCAAAGAAGAAGGAATAAATATATGCCACAACTCTCAAATGGCAATATTGTTTTTGGCAACATAAATAATATGGGTCCACATGTGTATAAAAGCACTACTATAATATTTTCTTTTAATTGTTTAGGTAGACTGGGTCTGTAGCAACTTGTTGGTCTACATAAACATTATAAATACATCTCTAGTTCTAAACAAAAGCATTTTGGAATAAAATTTTTGGTTTCCCCCTTCTCATATATCTTCCCTTTCTTTGGGAGTTCACATCTCCTCTAAAGGTGCTTAGTCTTCTTGATCCTTCAAGAAACTTATCAGACTCCTTCGAGTGTTATATAAGTGCAATCATCTGATTCCGATGGAGTTGATCTCCTTTTATTGACGTGAAACCATTTTCTTAAATCGCTTGTTCTATTTCATCTATATAATTTATTATTGCTTGTTTAGTGTTCTTAATTTTGATGAAAAAGTAACTTTGAAAATTTGATGTCAAATTTAATTCAATTTGTTCATTAATTTTATTTGTTTCTAATTTTTTGCTTAAATTCTTGAAGTTTTTTTACATTTCATTATCAAATTGGCTTAAACTCTAGTATCACATATTTTTATCTAAAGGAAATGAGTTGTTGAAGTAGTTTGTTACTTTTGATCTACAAGTTTTCTATTTTCTTTTTCTCGTGAAGCATGCAACACATTATATTAGTTGCATTAAGAAATGTAACCCTGTCATTATATATTATTTATCTATCACCTTATCTTCTATTAATATTGATTGATTATTATAAATATCATCACATTATAATTAAATATCATATACTAAAATTTTCTTCTACTTAGCCTAAGCCCTTATTCTACTTGCTTTATTTTACTTATTAATTTGGATTTCATACCTAACTTTTGACATTCTTGTACTCATTTTGCTTTACTTCTTAATTTGGATTTAATACCTGACTTTTGCATTCTTTCTCTTTATCAAGGATTACTTTGCCAGATGGCACGATTAAAGAGGGAAAGAAGTGGCAAACATCACCGTTGGATATCGCTAAGGGACTTCCTGGTGGTTGGGCTTCTAGTGCTTTGATTGCCCAAGTAAGTTGTCCCATCACCATCTTCTTTTTTGGGCAGTGCCAATCTATGGGCTATGGCATGCACTAATGTAGTTGCATGTATTAATGTGCATATTATGTTTCATTTTATTTGAGATAAGAATGTGAGTTATATTCCTGTAGTTGATAATTTTCACTTGTATTTTTTATCGGGGAAATAATGAGATTTAGTTACCATATTAGTTGTGAAAGTTTTTCTCTTTTTTGAAATTGTTTACTCAAATAAGTAGTTTTGGAAAGATTTTATATATTTTGTTTTTGTGCAAGCATAAAACCTACAATATAAAGTTATAAATTTCCTTGTACCTTTGCTGTACATATATATCTTGTGAAAAGGCTTCAAACTTCTTATGTACTTGGTTTTCATTTTTTTAATTTAATTGGAATCATTAGCGAAAATGTTGTTTTATACAACATTATTTTGTTGCTATTTTATCGAGTGCATGGATCCTTTTATAACTTTCTTCCTTACTGTTGTTGAAACTAATTTTAGCTATTATCTAGTTGAGAAATTGAAACTGATAGTTTTTTTTTGTTATTTTGTCTTTTTAAAGGTGAATGACACTCTCTGGGATATGTCAAGACCACTAGAGGAAAATTGTGAGCTTAAGCTGTTCAAATTTGACAGCAATGAGGGACGTGACACATTTTGGCACTCAAGTGCTCATATCCTAGGACAGGTACTTCATGATACAATTACTTGTCATTTTAGATTAATGGTTGATTGAGTATAGTAAGAAATTATTTTTTCAGTGGTTTTAATTAATTTATTTGTTACTTTTAGGATTGATACTTTACGCTGCATTTTACTAATCCTCGTCCTTGACCTATCTCTAAGATGCAATTATTTCATTAATCGAGCTTTTTCTTTTGTTCCTAGTCTGTTGAGATGGTGTATGGTTGCAAGCTGTGTATTGGGCCATGTACTACCAGAGGAGAGGTAATGCTCTGCATGTTTCCTTCATAAAGAATACGATTAAAATAATGCATCTTAATTTGTTAAATTATGCAATTTTCTATGGAAACTAACAATTCTATCATCTTTTTTTTTTCGCTCTTTAAGAGACTAGTAAGGTGTCTGAGGAAGCAATCTACGATGTAAAGATTTTAGCTTTTATTAATTTATATAATAGATTAGATTCGAAAGAGGGCGAAATATATAATTATAAGTTAGCCAAACAAAGAGATATGAGTAGTCAGGATTTAGTTTATGTGAAGTACATGAAGGATGAAGGTCAAAAAGTTCTTTTTTTTAGAAGATGATATTCAACAAGGTGGATGAGATATTTTGCTAAGCTTTTCAATGAATATTTTGAGAATACGATTGAATTTAGTGACGTTAGCACTCTAAATGAAAATATATATTTTTATTTTTATCAGTGTATTAGTAAAACTGAAGTTAGCGAGGTTTTAAAGAAAGGGAAGTGTGAAAAAACTATTGGACCTAATAATATTCCAATAGAGGTGTGTAAATGCTTTGGAGATAAAAGGAATTTCTTGGCTTATTAAACTTTTTAATATTATTTTGAAGACTAAAAATATGTTAGTTAAATGGAGAATGTGTGTGTTGATTTCTATTTTTAAGAATAAAGATGATGCACAAGATTGTGTGAATTATAGAGGAATTAAGTTGATGTGTCATACTTTAAAACATTGGGAGAGAGATATGGAGCATAAGTTACAACGTGATACTAATGTTTCTCAAAATCAATTTGGATTCATGTCAGGTAGGTCTACTATGGAAGCTATTCATTTATTGGGAGGGTTCATGGAGAAGTTTAGAGAGAATAAGGAGGATCTACATATGGTATTTATTGATTTAGAGAAAACATATGATAAAGTTCCAAGAGAAGTGCTATGGAGAGTTCTAGAAAAGAAAGGGGTTAATAATGCTTATATTCAAGCCATTAGGAATATGTATGCAGGAGTTGTTACTTGTGTTCAAACACAAGGTGGTTTGACCAAGTATTTTCCTATTCAGTTGGATTACATCAAGGATCAGCCTTAAGCCCTTATATTTTTTGCTTTAGTCATGAATGTTCTTACTAGACATTTGCAATAGGATGTACCCTGGTATATGCTTTTTGCTGATGATATTCTTCTTGTTTATAAGACTAGAGAGGAAGTTGAAGGTGAACTCCAATTATGGAGGTCAACTTTAGAGTCTAAAGGTTTTCGTTTGAGTAGATCTAAAACCAAATGCATGGATGGTGTAATTTTAGTAGTAATAGTTTTACTAGGGCGTTTGTGACTTTGAGCGATCGAGTCATTAATAAGTATACTCGTTTTAGATATCTTGGGTATTTTGTTCAGAGTGATGGTGAAGTAGATGGGGATATTATTAGTAGAGTTCAAGTTTGATGGTTGAAGTGGAGGAATGCTTCGGATTTGTTGTTTGATAGAAAAGTACCACTAAAACTTAAGGGAAAATTTTATAAGATGGTGGTGAGACTTGCAATGCTTTATGACGCAGAATGCTGGCCATTAAAAGAGAAGCATATTATTAAGTTAAGTGTTGCTGAGATGAGGATGCTCAGGTGGATGAGTGGATTTACTCTTAGAGACAGGAGACGAAACGAGCATATCGGTGAAAAGGTTCGAGTAGTTCCAGTGATAGATAAGATTAGAGAGAGTTGCCTTAGATGGTTTGGTCATGTAAAATGGTGGCCTTCCGATGAGCCTGTTAGGAGAATCGATGTGTTAGATTTAGCCTATGTTAAGAAGGTTAGACGTAGTCCTAAAAAGACTTGGTTAGACAATATTAGAAATGACTTTTCTTTATTTGATTTAAATGAGAATTTCAATGGAGAAAAATGATTCATGTAGCCGACCCTATATAGTGGGATAAAGGCTTGATGTTGTTATTGGTGTTGTTGTTTTTTGCTCTTGAGGAATGATATTTCGGAGGGTAGACCAGCATTTTTCATCTGTATTAATATGCTAAATCATTTCTCCTTTGATGAATATGAATTGTTTCTTCTGGATTTTACAATTTAAATCTTCTCTAGGGTTTCTACTATGATGCATACTATGGGGACGCCACATTGAATGAAGAACACTTTGGTCAAATACAGTCTCATGCAGCTAAAGCTGTTGCGGTATGGCTTCACTTACAGTTGCATTTTGTGAAAACTTTGGTATCTTTTCTATACTGAAATCAACTACTGCGGCTTCTTTAAAAAAATCCAACTATACATGTCATTTCATTTCTATGTTATTCGGTACTTCTTAATGATCTCTCTACTCTTAGTTTCTTTTTTTTTTTCTCTCTTTGGTTCTCTTTTGTTTAAATGACTTGTTCATTTGCTATTCAGGTGGATTAGTCTTATTATTTACACTATAAATTGTTAGTAGTAGTCAGAAAGTTTGACATATGATGGTAATTTTCAAAAGAGAGATGACTGGGCTTTATTTATGGAATATATCAAAATGTTGTTATTTTTCTTTTTGTAACTCCACGTTTATTTGGTGCTTTAGAAGAGCTAGAAATGATATGATAGGTTGGAAGGGCACATGATGTTTATTTGGAGAGAGATAAGGAGGTGGGGCGACAATTTAATATATTGAAGATCAAGAATCACAAGCAAAGTTGTCACACTCCACGCCGATCCTCTACCAATCAATGCAAGGTGCAAAAGAGAAAAACACACGATTCCTCAACATTCATAACTCATAACCATTCCAAAAATATTCATGTCATATTTCGTCACATTCATCGATAAAAAAACATTCAAAATATTTCATTTATAACATATGTAAATAATTATAGAGCAACTAACAACCCAAAGCATTTTTATAAAAACATCTCCCATACTTCTGCTCAGGACTCATCTTACATAGCTATACAATAAAACATAAATTTTAAATTGACCTGATTCTACTCGGCTTAAATTTAACATCTAGAATGAAAAAAATTGGTGAGCTATGAGGCTCATAAAGATATGCAATTCTAATATAGAATTTAAGAAAGAAATTATAGTGAATAATATGCACGTATTTATGATTGAACTAAATTCATAAGTTGTTTATAAAAAAGAATTAACATATATATGCTCATATGAACTAGTAATAAACTAATAATATAATGCTTATTATAGTGTCATAGATAAGACATTATCATGTCATTTAGTGATTTAAATATCCAACTTTGAATTTATTCATATAGATACTTCATTTAATACTTATGTTATGTGCTATCTCATTTCATTTGAAGCCTAAAAATATGTCATGATTAGATATCTAAGTTTTTGACCATCACTATAATATAAAGTTAGCCTTTATAGCTTTATAATAATGTTAAGTGAAGCTAAGATAAAATTGAATATTATCACCATGGAACTATATTGAGGTCCATTTTATTCCACTTGCATAGGTATTATAATATGTTGTTGCCACTCATCACTAAACATGACATTCCTCATGCTTAACCATTTTTGATAAATTAATAAACTAGTAATTAAATGGTTCATGCATTAACATAAAAGACAACAATAATACAATGCATATATATGAAGAAAAAGAAGTTAGTAGATAACTCATTGTTTTTCTTTCTTATCAATTAATGAAACATTAATGTAATTATAATATACTTAATTTTGAGCTTGAATCATTAAAATCAACATGTGGTCGTTTACACCTGAATACTCCATTGTAGAGACATTCAAACAATATGAAGAATTTCTACTGCACTTCATACTTCATTTGGCTCAAATGCAATTTTACATGTCAGAATATTAAATAATTTACTTTTCAAATTAGAATTTACATTTCTTAGCATGACGAGTTGCCTCGTCGATTTTGATTCCCCACAATCTTTTATGCTTGTAAGTTGCCTATACAACCCAAATTTCCAACTTACATAATTATTACAATTTCTGCCTTAATCAAAATACCTACAACCCAATTCATTCCTAAATGATTTCTTACCTCAAAATTTCTTCTACTCATACACCATTGGAATCCCACAACAATTGGGTATAATTAAGCAAGGGACTTATAAATTAATTTCTATCGTAACTAAATTAAACTCTTTTTTAATCTTTTTATTCCATTCCTCATTCCTTCTCCTATCTCTGCTTCTTTCCTTTCTTCTTATTTTTCCTCAGCCGGAATCCCTAACTCAGCTGCTCTGCTTGCTTCCGCACATCACTCCTAATGAGTAGAATATAATTGAATAAATTTTTGTGAAAGTTGGTATTTTAGGATATAATCTAATAAAAAAAAAGTACTTTTTACATTATAAAAAATGGGTTTATATAAGGTGCCTGGAAAACTGATATAAAGTCATGATAGAGAAGCACTAAACAAGAAGCCAAGAATTGGAAGGACTAATTCCTGGAACACAGATCATGCTAGTATGGGAGAGATGAGACTTCCATTGAAAACATTTATTAGGACAGTTGTAGGGGTGAAGTTGGTGGAATACCTGGAGACGAATTTTTTATAGAATCTAAGCTGGTGGATGTGGTCGCATGTGGTGAGGTGGCATGATTTCTTTAGTAGAAATGGTCTTTCTAGGATCTATTTTTATCAAGCATGTGCATTTCGTGTAGGAAGGATTTGACATGATCGTGAGAAATGAAAGCAGAAGAAAAAGGTGCATTTTTTATTATTTTCCTTCAACCATTCAGAGCAGATGTGCCGACTTGCCTTGAAGAAACTAAAGGAACTCAGGGGACAGGGTGAGTATTATTTTTACTCTTGTTCTTCTTGGGAAGACTTAAAAGAAACGTAACGGACATGGTTGATAACATTTTTACACCAGCTTTTCTTTCTTTTTGATGGTAGGTAGATTTGGTAGTTGAAATTGCGTAAGTGACCTTATAGCTTGCTTGAGTTAAAAGTCTGGAACAACATTTAAACTACGAAATTCATTTCACATTTCATGAATAATTAGTATCACTAATAAAAGTGAGATTGGAGGATCCCTGTTTGTGGATCGTGAACAAGCTTTCAACTTAGTGAGAGGATGGGAAAATTGTCAGGCTTTTGGGTGATAATAGGGAGTTATCATAAAGTAAGAATGGTATACGTTTTTTCCATGTTTCTTTCTGATTTTTCTTTTTTTCTTGAACTGAGCCATCTGTTACACAGAAAGATGAAGGGTAAGTAGTGCGGCTAAGTTTGGCATGTGGGATGAATTCCACGGCTTTGGATCACCAACTCTTAGTTTCAGATGGATTTAGTTTTATGGGGAGGAGGTTTTAATTTTGATTAGATTATGTGGCTTCTTAAGTTAAGCAGTTTCAGCGAAAAAAGGGGTTGAAATTTTGTATTGAACTTGAAACTTAAATTTACATTTCAAAATTTTAGAGTTTGGTGAGATATTTAGGTGTAGCTTATGCAATTTAGGAGATTAAATGGAAGAGAGAGTTAAGTGGGGTAATTAGGAGTTAGAGAGAGTATTACAAAACAGAGGATCCTAATTCTCTTCCTGTGAAGAAGAGAGAGAATGTGCAATTGTGGGAAGAGTGAACATTTTTGCTAGAGAATGTACGGGAGAATAAAGGTAAAGTAGAAAATTGAAAAATAAGTAAAACTATAGGAAATACTCTTTTGAACTCCAACAAATTGATAATTTGGAAAAAAATAAGTGAAAAATATAGGGTATTACTCTTTTCAACTGCAAAAGAAGCAATAAATTGATAAAAAATAGAACAGAAGATCAGAAATTTTGTTATAATTCTAAATTGATTTTTTGCATGCAGCGGATAGTGAAACTATTAGAGAACTAAAAGATGCACACCAAAATATGCAAAACAGCCAATCTTCAACCTGTTGTTGTCGGATCTTCGAGGCAAGAAAATTAGGCAGCCAAAATAAAAGCTACTGGAAATTTTCCTTCAATTGTTTCTAACATCATTAATCAATCATGGAAGCCCTTACATAAGATCTTTTACAATTCTAATTATTGATTCAAGTATTCTTTTTCTTGTTACATTCCAAACTAATCTCAAGTTTTAAAGAAACAATGCAAACTCGGACATAAATGATTATAGTTCGGAAAAGCATGAAAATGGGTTCAATTTAGCTCTTGTCATTTGTCTTGACTCCTTGTGCTTGGCCGCCTATAAGAAACTGACATTATCTGAACTAACCTGGCTGGATGGTCATAAAATACTATCAAAATTGTATCAGGCAAAGTTTTTTTTTTTTTTTTTAAATTCCTAGAGAAGTGTTATGGAGAGTTCTAGAAAATAAAGGAGTTAATAATGCTTATATTCAAATCATTAAGGATATGTATGTAGGAGTTGTTATTTGTGTTCAAACACAAGGTGGTTTGATCAAGTATTTTTGTATTTCAGTTGGACTACATCAAGGATTAGCCTTCAACCCACATCTTTTTGCTTCAGTCATGGAGTTCTTACTAGGATATTCTTCTTGTTGGTAAAACTTGAGAGGGAGTTGAAGGTAAACTTAAATTATGGAGGTCAATATTAGAGTCTAAAGGTTTTCATTTGAGTAGATCTAACTTCAAATACAATGAGTGTAATTTTAGTAATAGATCTAGTAAATTTGGGCGATCAAGTCATTAATAAGAGTACACATTTTAGATATCTCAAATTTATTGTTTAGAGTGACGGTGAAATAGATAGGGATATTATTACTAGAATTCAAGTTGGATGATTGAAATGGAGGAATGCATCAGGCTTGTTGTGTGATAGAAAAGTTCCCCTCAAACTTAAGGTAAAACTCTATAAGATGGTGGTGAGACTTGCAATGTTTCATAGCGCACAATGTTTGCCGTTAGAAGAGAAGCATAAAATTAAGTTAAGTGTTATAGAGATGAGGATGCTCAGGTGGATGAACGGCTTTACTCTTAGAGATATAATATAAAACGAGCATATACGTGAAAAAGTTAAAGCAGCTTTAGTGTTAGATAAGATTAGAGAGAGTCATTGTAAATGGTTTGGTCACATAAAATGTCGGCCTTTTGATGACTCGGTTAGGAGAGTAGATGTATTATATTTGACTTATGTTTAGAAAGGTAAAGGTAGACCTAAAAAGTCTTGGTTAGAAACAATGTTTTAAAAGGCGAAATAGGGAATCGAGGCGTTTTGTCTAAGTGAGGTGAGGCATAAGCCTCCATGCAGATCGAGGCGTAAGGCTCAAAATGGTAAAAAATAAGCTAATGTAAAATTATAAATAATGATAAAAATTGACAAAATATTAAGTCAATTATGAACCTGAAAAAATATCGTTGATATTTATATCTGAAAAGAAAAATCTTTTCATAATATGTAATTTACATTTAATTTATATTAATTAGGCTAATTATATTAATATTTAATTAATAATTATATTCTTAATTAGTCAATTAAGTTAAATTAGATAATTAATTTATGCACTAATTATACTATTAATTATTTAATTAATTTGCTTAATTATTAATATTTTAAATTATATTAACTAAGTTAATCAATAATAACTTAGCTGCGTCTAGGGTTTTCCTTTCATCTTCTCTTTTCCTCCTTGCTGTTCGGCTTCGTTGCTTGACAAGAGGTGTAGAGGTTGCGTGCGTCGCTTCTTTGGCTTCTTCGTGGCTCGACTTCGCTCCTTAGACGACTTTCCCTTCCTGTCGGTTGGCTCCTTTGTGGCTGTTCGACTTCGCTTCTTAGACGACTTTCCCTTCCTGTCGGATCGTAAGTTACTACATTTTGGTCAGTAGAAACAACGGGAGCTCACTGTCTGTGAAGGTAACTTTCTCCCTTCTGAGGCGCTGCCTAGATGCGCCTCAGCGTCTCACGCCTTGAGGCGTACGCTTCCGTGGAAAAAGGTGTAAGCCTCGCCCAAACGTTCGAGGCTTAAGCCTCAGTTTGCGAGACTTCCGCTTCGATTTGAGGCGAGCCTCGAAGCGTCCGCCTCGAACGCCTTTTTAATCCATGGTTAGAAAATATTAGAATGATGTTTCTTTATTAGATTTAAATGAGAATTTGACTCTTAATAGGACACAATGGAGGAAAATGATTCATGTAGCCGACCCCAAGTAATGGAATAAATATTTGTTATTGTTGTTGTTGTTATTGTATATTTCCTTTGCTTGTATTCTGAACCCTCATAAGTTTGCTCTTGGTTTAATATTGTGAATTAATGGCCTTTTTTGTTTAAGAAATATGCGCAGTTCCTTGCATTTCAAGTTATATTAGTTTGTTTTATTATATTGTTTGTAATTCTTAAATGGCCAATTTATGAAAAGCAACATGTTTTAAACTAAAATAAGTTTAAGGAGCAGGTTTACGGAATAATTTAAAAAGGAGCAAATACGGACCAAATCACACATTAGAAATAAAGTGTAAATAATTAAATAAATGTAGCACTTCATTATTTAAGAATTAATTAAAAATATTAATTTAAGGAAATTAAAAATAAAGAGAAATTCCTGATTTTAATAAAATAACGAATTATAATGATTTTTTTAAATAAGCATAAAAGCCAGTTTATAAGAAATTGAACATTTTTGTTTAAAAATAAGTTTATAATGATTTTTTTTATAAAATTAGCATAAGCATAGTTTCTTAAGAAACCGGAAAATGATTTCCTGTTTCCTTAGAAATCATTAAATTGAATTATTTTTTTAGAAATTGTAATTGATTTTTCTGGTTTCTTTGAAATCTTTGAAATCATTTTCTACTTTTGATAGAAACCGCAAAATAGTTTTCAGGTTTCAATAGAATCCGGAAAATAATTTTCTGCATTTTAGATTACGTAATTTAATTTTCCATTTTCTCTAATGCGCGATTAGGTTCTCCATATTTTTTTTTTTTTTGAAAATTATTCCTTAATCTTATTTTAGTTTAAAACATGTTCCTTCTCATAAATTGGCCTTTAAATTTAATTCGTATTAAGTAGTTATTTCTTAATAACATACTATCTGATTGAAGAGAACAAACAATTGTTATTCTTTTTGAAAGAAAAAAACATCGAGAACCTGCAGCCGTTTTAAACCAAGTTTGTCAGCTTACAAAGTGCTATTCACAGCGCAAGGGGCTCATTTTTTTGCTTTGAAGCACTAAATTGAAACGAAGCCCTCATTTTAGTTGGTTGAAATGTCACAAAAAAAATCATATAGTAGTATCCAATAATCATAATAAAAATTGCAATTACGAAATAATCTATTATGACATACAACAACAACAACAACAACATCAAGCCTTTATCCCACTACGTGGGGTCGGCTACATGAATCCTTTTTATGACATATTAAGTAAAAAATTAGTAAGAAAATTTATTACCAACTATTAAGCAACAAGACATACACGCGGTTGATGAGTAACACTTGATATTAACCCATCATTGAACTATCTTCTTCTTTAACTGAATGGAGGAATGGAGTGTGCTTGTCCCTTGCTCTTCATAGTGACGACGATATGTACACTTGTCCTGTTTGATTGAACTTTAGGGTGTAATCCCTCTTTGCAGAGCAATGTGTAACGGCATTGCTCTGCTCCACACTGTACTTAAAAGTGCACGTTTCTTTGCACTTTTAAATGGTCTTTTTTCTAGCGCTGCATAAAACAATTTCATCATCTTTTCAGAATTAATAGTAGACTATCGAGGGTTACTTGAATAATATTATTAAGTGTTTATTGCAGACTCAATTATATACCATATTCTAAATACAGGAAAAGCAACCATTTGAGCGGATTGAAGTCTCCAAGGAACAAGCTCTTGAGATGTTTGTTGAAAATCAATTCAAGGAAAGTTTTGCTCTTTTATTGTCATTTGAAATGATTACATTTTACATGTCTCATCTCTTTCTGATTGCTGTCCTTGCGATATGCACCAAATGAATCTGTGTATTTGGAACTTGATAACTACTTGCAGATAGAAATCATTAATCAATTACCTGATGACAAGACGATAACTGTCTATAGATGTGGTCCTTTAGTTGATCTTTGTCGTGGCCCACATATCCCGAACACATCTTTTGTCAAAGCATTTGCTTGTCTAAAGGTAAAGGTCATGTTGATTTTCTGAACTGCAATTATAAGTTCAATATTGATGGATTGAAACTGCATCCATATAGTCAAGTTATTTCTTAGATTTTTTTTGTTAATTTAAGTTTTTTTACAATTAATTTTTAGGCTTCATCCTCCTATTGGAGGGGCAAGTCTGATCGGGAGAGCCTTCAAAGAGTTTATGGAATTTCCTTTCCTGAATCAAAACGTCTCAAGGTGTGTGTTTACATATTATTCTGGGTTATGCTATTTTCCTATTTACTTATGCTGTCCTTTTGAAATTTCGTTCCCTAAGGTTTTCGTATTCCTTACTCCGACAATATACTGTGGCCCTAACTTGCACTGCATAATTAATAGAATTTCTTAACATTTTCGGTGTGCTACATTTAGAAATTATTGCTAGTAGGCTAATACCATGCGGTGATTATTGTTCAAATCCCCTGCTTCAGCCTGTCTTAGTAAAATTTAACCCTCTTTTTAGACCCACCTTGACCCCACACTCACAAAAAAATGGTCATTTTCTACATTCTCTTTGCAAAGTATTTTTTCATGCTATGTACAGTTTTTTGGCATTTAAAACTCAAATTTTTGTGCTTTTATCAAGCTTTAGCCCTTATTTTTTGAAGGAATATATTGCACTGTTAGAAGAAGCCAAGAAATATGACCATCGTATTCTGGGACAGAACCAAGAGCTTTTCTTTTTCCATCCGCTAAGGTTTGAAATATTTTTTTGTTCACTTCTCCCTTGAGAGTTTGAGCGTGTAATATTTTTCTTGCATGACTATACAGCCCTGGAAGCTGTTTTTTCCTGCCATATGGGACTAGAATTTATAACAAGTTAATGGAGTTCATCCGATCTCAGTACTGGAAGAGGGGATATGAAGAGGTTTCTTCTTTATATTTTTCATTCCTGGTTATTGGTTAGACAAATCTGAAACAATTAATGAAACATTTGTGCCCAATTTTTATGCTGCTTTATTTATCAGGTTGTAACACCAAATATGTACAACATGCATTTGTGGGAAACCTCAGGTCATGCAGCTAATTACAAAGAAAATATGTTTGTATTTGAGGTAATGTCTCATGAACGGCCAGAACATTTGACTAGTCCCTACTGTTTGGGTTTTGCTTTCAAATTATTCTTTTCCATTCATTTATGCTTGGTGTTGTATGTGATGTCCGTGTTAACTCTTGCTTAAATGCTTTTAACCTCAACTACAAATTATGTAACATTTGGTATACTCCTTTCCTTACTAGCCTTTCAAACTTATTTTTTCTCTATGCTTTGTTCTAAGTTCTTTAATCTGTTTTTTTGCAACTTTATCTCCATTAGGCGCTACTTATTTGCAACTTTATCTCTATTAGGTGCTTTTAAAATCTATCTAATATTTCCTTTCGCAAGCCTTTTGTCCTTGTTTTATAATGCATCCATATTAACATTCAATTCAACCACACTGAACTTCTTTTTAGAAATTTCTTTGTTCTTTAATACTAAAATAAAAGCAACATTGTTGTTCTTATTGCCATTTTATAACATTTATATTATATTATTTTAATTTCGTGGCACTATCTTATCCACTATTACCCTAAAGGCACTTTCTCCATTTCTAATTATTCATTCTATTTTCGTGATGTTGCCTGAAGAAGATTTCTGTTCTGGTGGAAAGAATGAATATTCTAATAATTTTAAACAACTTTGTATTATGAAATGTACGTTACATACTCTTGAGACATTCGAAGTTCTTTTTTATTTTTTATATTTAATTCGTCTTTCCTCTTAATCTTGAACTACAAAAAGTTACCTTATTTTTCACAGGTAGAGAAACAAGAATTTGGACTTAAGCCAATGAATTGTCCTGGACATTGTCTAATGTTTGAGCATCGAGTCCGTTCTTATAGAGGTGGCTACCTTATTTTCTTAAAACTTGGATCTTATCTCAAAATTTTATCTTTTGTGTTAAACAAATATCATTATTGATTTATTAATTGCAAGATTTTTATATTGATCTGCTGTTGCCCGCTACTTGGAAGGAGATAGAGATGGAGAAAAAACAGGAATGATAAGGAGTACAGAGGAGATTTAGAAAAAATCCAAAATTGAATTCTTGATATTTGAGGGATAATTTTCATTGCATAAAAAAGCTTCTACTTATAATACATAAGAGAATTCAAATCCATGCTACTTTCTAAAATCAAGAAGTATTCTCTTTAAAATTTAAAAATCTAAACTACATTTTCTGGATTATGGACAACTAATTCCTAATTGCAATAAAAGTCAAATTCAAATGGTTTAAAAGCTAATGAATGGATGTGAATGTTAAATTCAAACAAAATTTAATCCAATGTGTGTGTATAGCCTGAAAGAATTTATAACTTGAAATTTAGAAATTATATTAAGTAAGTAATAAACACTGACATTGCCAGGCCCAAAGTCCTTGATGAGAAAAATAGAGGGTTATGATAGATAATCAACAATCAATGTAAAAATTTTCAAAAATCATAATATAAATCCCTTAGCACACTGGATTAATTCTAGGGCATTCCTTGAAAACAACATGTTGTATGACCTGAATATAGCAAAAAAGTGTGTGCACCGGTGCCTGGGTGCAATGTTAAATAATAAAGTGTTCCCACATCATGGATGTATATGGGAAAAGTAGCTTGTTCTTGCTACTAGAATGATGATAGGAATTTTGAATATATGTACTTTTATAACAAATTAATGAAATTGATATTTATTATGATTCAATAGGAAGATAAATATTCTTTGTATTCAGGAAATTTAATAGGTTGGGGAAAAGGCTAAAGAGTCTGATAGTTTAGGATTTAAACTATTGTATTTAGGTAGGAGTCGTACTAAAAATGTTGTATGTGTGATTATAAATAAGAGTTTGAATTATAATATTGTAGAAATTAATAGAATTAGAGTTATAATTTTAGCTTTAAAGATTATTATTGATACTAATATTATTAATATTATAAGTACTTATGCTGCTCAAGTAGTTTTTGATGTGTTCAAAAATAAAATTTTAGATGATTTAGAATAATTATTGCAAATGATACCTCTTGAAGAAAGATTTTTATTGAAGGAGATTTAAATGAACATTTTGATAGAGTTGTAGATGATTTTAAAAATATTCATGGTGGCTATGGGTTTGAAGAGACTAATGAAGATGATTGGATCATATTAGATTTATAATTGTTAATACCTTATTTAAGGAAAAAATAGGAACATCTTATCACTTATAAAATGGATAAAGTAAAATCAAATTGATTATTTTCTTAAAAAAACTAGATCAGTTAGATTGTAAATATTGTAAAGTTATTGTGAGTAAAATTTTATATACCCAGCCGCACTTATTATTTTTGGATTTCAAGATGAAGAGGCAGAATATGAAAAGTAAAGTAAAATATTGTTTTAGGATTAGATGGTGATATTTTAAAAATGTTAATAAAAATATTTTTGAGAGTAAGATTTAAGATCTTAAGATTTGGGTTATTCATGATGAAACTAAAGTTATGTGGAAAAATGTTGCTAGTGAGATTAAGAATATTGTAAAGTATGTGTTTGGAGAATCAAAAGGAAAAGCTCTTAATGATTAAAATAGTTGACGACAAAATTAAAATGTACAAAAAAGATTAAAAATAAAAATCTATGTTATAAAAATTAGTTTAGATTTAAAATCTTGAAAAATTGTGAAAGATATAGAAGGGCCAATAGAGAGTCTAAAAAGTATTATGTGATGCAAAGAATTTTTCTTTTAAACTTTGAATCAAATTTATGCCGAGAGATGAGTGGTAGCCATGGATAGTGTAAACAACCAAAGATTTTAAAGTGAAGGTAATCAAGTGGTGTATTATAAAGTAGATGATACAGAGATCGTTTAAAGTGGTGGATGAAGATAATCTATTATATTAATTAAACTAAGGTTAAGAGAGCTTCCAACCAAAACTTATGCGAAGTATGAGCATCAATAAATAAAGTTCGAAGAGTTTCAATAATGTGTTGATATTTGCGTTCGGTTACACCATTTTGTTGTGGTGTGTAAGGAAAGACTAATTGGTATTGAATGCCAAATTGGCTAAGTATAGATTGAAGTTCGGAATTTATATATTTGCCACAACCATTAGAACAAATAATTTTTATAGATTTATTAAATTGGTATTCAACAAGAGATTTAACATGTGAAAAATTGGAAATCGTTTCATCTTTAGTTTGCATAGGATATACCCAACTATATGAGAAAAATCATCCACAAATAACACATAATACTTAAAATCTTGAGTAAACAAAATGCAGGGAGGACTCCATACATCCGTATGTATTAATTGAAAAAGTTTTTTACTACAAGAGAAATAAATAGAAAAGGGTAACTTGTGACTTTTAGCAAGTGCATAAGAATTGCAAAGAAATGTTTTTTGGGAAGTGGAAGAAACGTTGTTTGTAGTAGACGGCAATTGAGATTGAAGTTGAAGAGGCAGATGCCCTAAGCGACAATTCCATAGTGTAGAACTCTATGAAGCAGTGAGAAGGGCAGGAGGAGTTGAGTTCAAAGAGTTAATTCAATAAAGACCTTGACGAGAGGGAACTTGAAGAAGAGTCTGATTGCTCATCGAATCCTTGATACAAAAGCCAAGATTATCAAAAGAAACAGAACAAGGATTTTTAGAAACAAGTTTATGCATAGAAATTAGATTACGAGATAGCTTTGAAATATGAAAGTGAGGATTAAGAAACAGCTTACAGTGTTGGAAGGGGAGGATTCCTCGACCAACTTGATTTATTGGAAGAAAGTCTCCATTGCCGATTTGTACCTACTGTGATCCATTGTAACCTCTGGCATTGTGAAGTTGATTGGCGTCAGAAGTTAAATGCAATGTTGTACCAAAGTCTAGATCCAATTGGTAGTTGCAGTTGAATCATTTGCAAGTAGAGCATGAGTATTGGAATTATAGGATAAATCCATTCAATACCAGCAACAAAAACTGAATGTCCATGTTTACCACATATCTGACATTCCACATAGGAAGAGAAATTGTGAGTAGCTCGGGTAGATGAATAAGAACCTCAACCAAGTTTTGAAGAAGAGAATCGTTGCCTACTGCCAGAAGAATTTGGAATAGGAGGACGAGATTGCCCTCTGCCCTGCTCAACAACAAACACCATTTGTGATTCAGGTAAGGAAACAAAATTACGAGTTTTTCAACTGCGATGTTAAGCTCTTCATTGCATAAAAGAGCATAAAAATCATCTAAGCTTATGTGCAGAAGATTAGTTCTAATGGCAATCTTGAAAGCTTGGTATGTTGACGACAAACCATTAAGTGTATATAGAATGATATCTTCAACATCTAATGGAGAACCGAGGTAGTGATGACATCACATTTGAATTTAATATCTGATAAATATTACATCATAGATTTGTCTTTTATGGAGATATGATGCAACTCATTTTTTAGTTGTAGAAGACAAGATCGGTTGGTGGACTGCAAATGATGTTCAATGGTTTGCCAAATCTCAACACAGGGTTCCAAATTTAAAACAAAAAATAGTAGTTTTGTGAAATAGTGGAGTATATAGCAGCGGCCGAATTTTGATCCATCCACAAGCATCCATGTGTCCTAACTTGGATTAGGAAGTATCTCACCAGCATCAATGAAAATCTGCTTGTATTGCTTGGGTGTAGAACTATCAAGGAAACCATCAAACTCATTTGCTTTGAATAATTTTTGAAGTTGGGCTTCCAAAGTGGATAATTGTCAGCATTCAGCTGAATATTGATGACTGTTTGACATTTGTTACAAGAATTCGGGTGTCGGTCATCTCTTTTGACCAGTCTCATCCGATTTAATTACGAGTGGCCCCGACCTAGCAAAATTCAGTGTCCTGATCGCAAAGATACCATCCGTTTGGCATTTGGAGGTCATTTGACCCCTTAAGTGACGTGTTTCATCAATGCACATATTGCTTTATTTACCAGTTTGAGTCCTTTCTCGCGTGTTCTGATGTATATGGGTCAACAGACCTTTACTTGCTCTGATACCAAGAGAAATAGCATAAATAAAGCAAAATAGAATTGAGAGAAGCTACCAATGTTCTTGTCTTTCATTCATTAAAAACCCACTTGCAGAATTGCAATTGATCTTTATATATATACAGGCTGAGGCGAAATACATTATGCAGAAATTGAATTGTTGAATAGCAGCGGTCAGATCAAGACAATTAAGTCTCAATGGTGGGAATTAGAGAGTGAAAGAAACGGTCTGAAATAGGTGCAGAGAAGGTGGCCATAAAGTGACATAAGAGCTGCTATATATCAACAAGTAGCACCACTTATATATGCCGATTTTCAAGCAGCACTTGTCCCATATTATCAATGTTGCATATATTGGAAGTGTATTTGTTTTATATCATCGATCAGCCAAATTGAGAAACATATGTATCCTAATGTAAAGTGACATCTCAGAAGTTCCTGAAGGGTGAGCATGTGTTTTCTATGAGTTCATGAGCAATGATGGGGTTACCATTCTCGCTGGCTCGTGGCAGTGGAGGCAGAGAATGAGTAGAAAGAAGGAAGAGAACTAGGGTGGGTTGGGGTTCATTTTTCTTGTCCTATTTGAGATAGGTAGGTTTTCACCTTTTTTTTTTCTCAAGTCAATAGGTGGGAAATCAGAATTGGGTTTTGGATTGGATGGATATCGTTTGATGCCAATATGATGCAAACAACACTGAAAGGTTGTTTATTATTAAAAAATATTTAGCTATGCATCAAGCTCGGAGTCTCCGGCAACTCCGGCTTCTCCGTTGGACTTCCTATCAGCCATGCATCCTCTGGAACGGATTCGGACAAAGAACGATTCTTTACTCCCATACAATTTGTCTCGTTCATGTCGTCTTCTTCCACCTCGACTCCCGGTATTGATAGTGCTTCCAACAATGAAGAGAATGAAGTGCGTTGGGTTCAGTGTTCACCATAGTTCTCTAGTTTATCTTTTTTTTTTTTCTGAAAGCATGTTGACTCTCTATCTGATTCAGTTCAACAGTTTGATACTTGATTGTTCCAGTATTGTCTCATTAATTGGAGCGTAAAAATTTTTTGCAGGAAAAGTTTCAGTAACAATGTTGATATCCTGTGCAGTGTGCTTTTTGTCATATATTATATTTATTAAATTTTTTAATTGGGATGTAAGATGTATGCATGGGTAGACGCATACTCCTTTTGTCTGGTTTAAACCTCAGCTGTTACGTCACAAATGTTAAGATCAGTGGCAGTCGATAGCACTTCTATCACATTAAGCAGTTATTTGGCTTCCAGTTTGATTTCTTTACCATGCAGTTTCTTGTTATTTTATATTCTTTTTCTTGTGACATTTTATGTGAGTGTGTTGTTTGTTTCTGCAGAGTTGCCTCTTCGTTTTGCAGATTTTGGAGTTCTTCATAGAAATGAACTAAGTGGTGCTCTTACTGGATTAACACGTGTTAGAAGATTTCAACAGGTAGAAGTTTGTTGCTGAGTTCGATGGCTGTTCTTTATCGGAGCACTTTGTGAACATTTGTTTATCATCTTTCTAAGAAGAAATGCTTTTGTTGCCTTGTAGGACGATGCTCACATATTCTGTAGAGAGAGTCAGGTGAGATTGCTTTTTTTTCTCTGTTTAATTTGGCTAACTTTTATGTGCTAAAAAAGAAAAGAAAGGATCTTTGTCGTTTAGGTTTTTGATTTGCTTGGACAGTAAGCGGATTTCAAATCTGTAGTAATCATCTAGGGCTGAACTGAAAATGTAGCCTCTGATACTGTTGACTTAAAAGTGCAATGGTCATTTTCATGTAATAAAGGTGATAATATTTGATGAGAATTTTGAGTTTTCTCATTGTTCTGCAAATAATGTTTGAAAGACGCTTGTTTCTGAGCATGCAAACAATGTAAAACATGTATCTATTTTAAATAATGATTAAAATCCAATCCTATATTTCCAGTTGAAGAATTCGCCTTCTCTTGTTTTGATCGTGGTTCTGCTGATCGTTTCCTTGTGTTATACGCATGAGTTGATTTTTTATTTACTGTTTGTAGTTATTTCTGCATTCTGTACATTAAAAACCACATTGCCTATTATATAAATTTTGTTTTGTGTAGTTCAGATTGCAACTTTGCAAGCTTAGCTAGTACTCTTCTTTTTCTAAACACTGAAAAGCTATTTGCATGGATTATGGGCTACTATATTTAGGGATGCTTAATAACTAGAATGGAATTAAGATTTATGTCATGACCCAACCTGAAAGCGTTGAATATCAAAAGCAGGAACAAAGCAGGAAAAAACGGCTGGAAAAAAAATATTTAAATTTCTTTGACGAACATCAACTAATATATAAAATATTGTTCATGCTTTTTCATAATAACTTCCAACATATTCACAGAGCCAGTACTAGGCAAAGTTCATTCTGAACTTAGATTATAACATTTCTGATATAAATACCTTTCTCTTGAGTGCCACATCTATAATATACTGATTCCCCTCTTCCACTCAAGACGACAGAATCTTTACATATCTAAATTGGTTAAATAAGAATGAGTTGTAATGCAATTCAGTGGATACATATTACCTCTATATTACAATAATATAATAGAATATTGAAATAATATGCATGTGTCAAAAAAGTTTAATTGGTATAAAATTACTTGAAAATTCTTTTTATTCAAATATGGCCATTTAAAAGGTTTTGAAACATTCCTTTGTACATTAAGAAGAGAAAAATTATCTTATCTTATTTATATCATTTTCTTCTATCACATCCATTAGAGGAGCACTATTTAAATTGTACCATTTAAGACACTTCTATTTATATTTTCTTTCTCAAACTTTTTTCATTTTAGGCGTGGGTACATTTGCATTCATGGCTAGTATCATAATCGGTTGAACTCTATCAGTTAACATGCACATGCAATTATTTTTATATAGTCTATTTCATTTATATTTTTACATATTATTTTATATCTTATTATCATAAATATTGTATAATATAAGAAAAACACATTAAGTATAATTGAACTGTCACGACCCTGTCCGGAGACCTAAGATAATGAGACCGAAATAAACGGTCAGACGGTTAATACGTTTCTTTCAATAACATAAAAACTTAACATATCCTAACACCCAACATATAACTGAAGAGTCGTTAAAACACATTTTTCAATTTGAACATATAATAATTCAAGTTTACTTGTACCATTTGATCATCTTCTTATGTATATGAACTTTTCTCTTTTAGCCATTCAATTCACAGGAGATTTATATTATATTTTAAATTTAACAATTTGAGTTTTGTAATAACTCAATGGATAATTACAACGTATAATATAGCATTTAAATATACATAAACGCAATCATATTCCTTTGTCTTTCTTTTTCTTTTAGCATATACGTAAACATTTAATATAAATATAAATTTTAATTATATGCCTTTCAATTAATTTATTCATTCTTCGATTTCATTTATTCCTTTTTCCCATTTGATTTAATACAAGAGTACCATCAAAATGTTGTATCAATGAAGGTACATCAATTTTCATTTTAATTTTCTTTTCCGTTTAACGTGCACGTTTATGTGGCGACCCCATCTAGTGTTATAAGGGGGTGAATTCCTGTATTTGTATACATGCACTTTTTCCCTTTTTATACTTTTCATTTTCATATTAATATTCATTTAGTTTATTTCATTTTTCCATCACTTGTCATATGAATCCGTAGAGACATTTTTCTCATATATATTATGAACTTTAGTTATTTAGTCATTAACAAATTTGTTGCATATCAAACATTTAACTTTAGCAAGTAGTTGAGCAGGATATAATAACAACAATATAATAAAAAAATGAATTTGCTATAAATAATTGATATGTTTTGGAGATCAAATTAGCACCCAAAACAGCCACTAGAGCGAAATCAGCACCAAACAACAAAAAATTGTCACCAAAATCAAGAGAAAATTGCAATGGTATGTAGGAACAACACTAATAAAGTTGAAATAATAATCTTTAATAAAAAAAAACACAAGATACAATTGATTCACTGTTTGAGAGGTGAATCAGTTCTCCACCAATTTCCTAGCAGCAATTAGGAACCCAAAATCATCTAAGAAAAACTTTTTCAGAAAATTCTTCACATAATCCTTCCCACATACAAACTTTCCCCCTGTCACCTCACATTTCCTCCAATAATCTCCCCTTAAACTTTTTCCTCCCATAGATTTGAAATGAGATGTTTGGACTCACAAAACAAGAGCCTTTTAGCTCTTGAAATGAGGTGGGGTTCACAGCCGTATCAATAACATAGTCATCCACTTTGTTTTTTTTTTTTTATCAATTTGATTCATTTTATACATTAAACATTCAGTCAACATATATGCTACAACATATAATAATTGTAAATAAGTGAAAGGGAATTGTGATCGTTATAAAATAATTGTAATTACCCACTTTAATTATTTTCGTTCTTCAATTCTTCCAAGTACTCGAGCTTTGAAATAACATTCCTTAATGCAACATCTAACCTCCTCTAAGAACATTTACATAATTCAAATATTCATCTCAGGTCAATTATTTAATTTCCTTACTATTCCAAAAATAATATTAATTTGCCTTAATATTATTAGATCAAATTTTGAAGAAATTTAAATATCGTCAAAACAATAAAAAATATCAAACTCCTCTAAGTTAACAAACTATATCTGATGTAGAACAAAGGGGGGGGGGGGGGTCATGTGAATTTAGAATTTTCAAATTAATTGGAAAAGGGAGGGAAGGGGTCGGCCAAAGAGAGAGGGGAAGGGGATAGGGTGTCCAAGTTCAATGAATGTGGAATTTGAATTGATTTCCAATTAATTTCTGATTTACCCAATCCTTAATTGAAAGAAGGCTTTCCAAAATTGAGCTAAATGATTTAGGAAATAATTTGAAATTTCAAATTCGTTTGAATTTGAATTCGAAAACTTACCAAAATTAAAACAACTTAATTTAGGAAAGAATAAATTTTAGAGGGAAAGGGATTTGATTGAGAGCATTAATTGAGGGGAATTAATTAATATGTGAGGGAAAAAAGGGGCGGCCAAAGGAGGAGGGGGAGAGATGTCCACATACGATGTATGTGGCCCAAGACATTAAATTAGATTTGATATTAAATCTGAAATTGATTTTATATTTAGAGGAATTAGGGGAAGACTTTCAAAAATAGATTTGTTAATTCGGGAAGGATTTGAAATTCAAATATCTTTGAATTCAAATTAAGAGCTTTCCAAGTTAACAATAGAGTAATTTAGGAAAGTAATAAAGAGGCTATTTTGAATTCAAAATTCAAAATATGTGGAGGGAAGAGGCTAGGGGTGAGGTGGTCGGCCGGCTATGGAAGTGGAGGGGTTGATGTTTGATCCAAAAGAAAAGTTAGCAAAAATCAAATGAAATAAAACAAAAACTGATAGTGAATGGTGGAAACTAGAGATGAGAGGATGGAGAATAAAGAAAAATAAAATAAAAATGATACAAACCACGAGCACGGACTCTACCAGCAGACTACGTTGCCCTCCCCGAGGGACTTCAATCCACGAGCCCGAATCCATCCTGCGGCTGGTGAAAACAAGGTTGTCCTCCCATAGGACTTTTCCTCTCCAGAACTCACACAAAGATAAAAACAGAAGCTCCAATTCTTTTTTTTTTTATTAATAATCTATCATTATATTACACAAGCAAGAGCCTCTATATATAGGCCTAAGAAACTAAAACAAGAAACATATGCCTCTAGGGCTTACATATAACAACCCTCTTAAGTGAGGGTAAAAATGGAAAATTCATAATAAAAAAAATTACAAATAAAATTTAAGATAACGTGGGATGATGAAGGCCGTCGATCTTCAGCTCCTCGGATATGCATAGACGGTTGGATGTTCGCATCATTCTCCCGGGGTGGAAAAGAGCTCGACTCCGTCGAGTTCGTGTCCCGAGTGAGCAACCATGCTCTGAGACCAAACTGATGTAGAATGAAGGGGGGTCATTTGAATTTAGAATTTTCAAATTAATTGGAAAAGTGATGGAAGGGGTCAGTCAAAGAGAGGGAAATGGGATAGGGTGTCCAGGTTCAATGAAAGTGAAATTTGAATTGATTCCCAATTAATTTTTGATTTACCCAATTAATTTTTGATTTACCCAATCCTTAATTGAAGGAAGGCTTTCAAAAATTAAGCTAATTGATTTAGGAAAGAATTTGAAATTTCAAATTCGTTTGAATTTGAATTCGAAAACTTACCAAAATTAGAACAATTTATTTTAGGAAAGAATAAATTTTAGAGGAAAAGGGATTTGATTAAGAGCATTAATTAAGGAGAATTAATTAATATGTGAGGGAAAAGGGGGGCAGCCGAAGGAGGAGGGGGAGAGATGTCCACATACGATGTATGTGGTCTAAGGCATTAAATGAGACTTGATATTAAATCTGAAATTGATTTCAGATTTAGAGGAATTAGGGGAAGGCTTCCAAAAATAGATTTATTAATTCATAAAGGATTTGAAATTCAAATATCTTTGAATTCAAATTAGGAACTTTCCAAGTTAACAATATAGTAATTTAGGAAGGTAATAAAGAGA